AGAGAGGTGGGGGGGGGACCCTTAAATCCATTTCCCTTTGCTTGTGTCATTTACTGTTATCAAATCATCTGGCAATGTCGTGCCAATTTCACCAAAGTGTGGATTCTGTTATGTGGCTTCCATGATTGTTGTACTTTACTTAAAGGCGAGAAAAAAAGTTGTATTTCTTTTTTCTCCCAAGTAGGGGGATATATGTTTACCATTTCGGACACAGAAAACATGTTTTGTACTCACGTTTCCCCATGTCGATTAATTACAGCTGTAACGGGAGCTCTCGTGGCCTAATGGTGTTTGCCTCTAATTCAAAGGTCCCAGGTTCGAATCTGGGTAGCGACCCAAAAATGTTCTCCTCTAAAATTGTCTCCTTTCACCTTCTTTCTTTCTCTTTTGCAATATTCTATCGTCTGCTTTCGCCTCCACTTTCTTCCCCCATCCACTCACCTACTTTGTCCCCTCTTCTTGGCTCCTGACTCTTTCTGCAGCCTTTCTACTGCTACTCCTTGGCTCCTTCTTACTGCTTGCTTTCAGCCACACCCCCGATCTTCTGGTAGGGAAGATCTACACCTAGCCTTCTCGGACAAAGGCGAAAAATCTCGGAGGTCCCGTGTGCAAGTTGCGCACGTTAAAGATCCCTTGGCGGTCTAAAATCGGTAAGAGTAGGACTCGGCCGCCACGGGGTAAAATTCTAAATTTCCTACCAATTGAAAATGTTTGGTGTGTCCCATGCTCTCATATGACCTTATGCAGTTGCGAGTGCCGTAAAACACTTACCAAAAAAAAAAAAGCAAGCTGTAACACTCTGCATGGCAAAGATGCCGCATGTTGAGTGTAAAAATAATCTGGATTTAATATCTTAAGCAAACGCAATGTTGATGAAGAAAGCTCATGTTTATCCGAATTTTTGAAGTAGCAGTTTGGCGCTTAGCTGTCTCTCGCAGGAGTCCCGAGTTCGATTCTGGAAACAGCATTCATTTTCATCTAGTTTCTTCAGTCTGTCTGATTGAATGTTTTATCCCTCTCAGCCCGGGTTGTCTCTGTTAAGCACGGCTGGAAGCCAGATTTCTGAGTGATCGAAATTGCATTGAAGCGGATGTGAAAACACCTAGGTTCTACATGAAAGAAAAAAAGACAATTTAGAACCGGTTTTTCCATAGTGAGATCCCGTGTTTTCCGTAAGTACTCCTACAGGGATCATTACCGCTAACGTCACTCTGCCATCAGATTTTAATGAGTGTCTTCTGTTGTTTGCAGGTTGTCATGGATACGTCATTATCACTCCTCGGCTTATTTTATTTTTCTCTACTCAGCTGCTATTACAATTTGGTTTTCCCGTAGCCAGCAATGGTTGCGTTAGAGATGAGACTGTACTTGCGACATTTAAAGGGGGATAATAAAAAAATCTCATTTCGCTCTGGTATAAATGCGTGTTTCCCATACAATGACTGTGCAAGGCACAATGAGTGCGAGTGCGTGCCTCTATATTGACAGTGTTTGTGTTTGCATTCAAAGGGGGAAGAACTCTCAGAGTGTTTGGAAAAACCATGTACTGTCTGGTTCTTACTTGAACGTTTTTTGTTCGTTTTTTTTAACTTTCCAGCACTGGAATGAGTTTGAGAATGGACTCTTCCACACCATCCGGGTTTAAAGTGAAGATAATATTCTTTGTGCGCGTGATATTTTTTCGTTTTTTTCTGGTTATTTAGTTTTTATGTAATGTTTTACACCCCGTTGAACGACCTAGGCCATTTCTGAAGGTGGGCTGTTTTAGTTTTAGAAGAGGTTTTACGGCGCTCGCAACTACACAAGGTCATATGAGCGCCAAAAGATTAGAGGTGTTACAAGAGAGTAACAAACGTAAAAAAGAAGGAGGGGAGATAAGGCGAAGAGTCTAACTACTGCGCAGTGGTTTACCAGTCGGTGGCTGGGATTTATTCCAGGACATCCCGGGACGGTAAAGAGAAACTCGACCATCAATATTATTTTCGTTGCTTTCAGTTCTACTTGTAAGTCAACATGTCAAACTTCAGTACGAACTCCAACAGCAGCTCTCTGTGTGGATCGGTGGTAGAAGAAGTTTTCAAATCAACGTCCAACAACACGACTTGTCACGTAATTCCTGTGGTCCAATCAGATTCTTTTAATGGAACACTATCTAGATTTTCTACAGCGGTCTCAGTCTTTGACATCACCAAGATTGTCTTCGTGGGTATCTGTTCTGTTTTCATCATCACTGCGAATATTTGCACGCTGGTTACAATCTGGAGAACAGAATCTCTCCGGACATTGACAAACGCTTTCGTGGCCTGCCTCGCTGTCACTGACGTCACAACCGGCGTTGCTATGATACTGGTGGGTTTGTTTGGCTTCCCGCCAACGAGAGTTACCCTCTTCCATAACGTTAACCGACTGTGTGTCTTTATGCAAGGGCTTGGCGTTTCCATGGTCATGTTATCCATCTGGATCATGGTATACATCTCAATAGATCGCTACTTGTTTATTTGTCGTCCGTACCTGCATCCAAGAGTGATGACAAAGAGGTTATTCGTCAGTGTAATGTTTATCGTTGTGACATTTTCAGTCATGTACAGTTTTCTTCCCCAAATACTTTTCGTAGGTGAAATTGGGGTCTGTGACATCACTCAGACAATCCCCATGTGGTACTGGCGGTACTGTATAAACGTCATGTATTACACGGCTGTTATAACTATCGTAACGATGTACAGCCTCGTTTTACAGGCCGCTTTCAGGCAGAAA